CAAGGACTTTACCTGTTAGACTGCCACACCGGGCCCCCAAAAGAACCACCTTTTAAAACTGATGCAGTAAGTCATTACACAAAACTCGTTTCACTGATATTTATGTGTTTGTGTGAGTCTTTAAACCTATTCTTTCTTCTTTATTCAAATTCAGAATGAACTTTTTTATATTGCTTATTATTTTCATTGAGTTGAAGGGCAGAGAGAGACAGAAAGATATCTCCTGCTTGCTGATTAATTCCCCAGAGTGGGTGTAGCCAAAGCCAGGAACCTGGAAGTCCCTCTGAATTTCCCACAGGGGTTGCAGGTGTCCAAGCACCTGAACCATCATCCATTGCCTCCCAGGATGCCTTGGTAAGAAGCTGAATCAAAAGAGGAGTAGCGGGGACTCCAGTGGGACTCTCGAGATGGGATGCAGGCATCTCAATGGTGGCTTCACTTGCTGCACCAAAACAAACCTTTGCTTGATAGTGACTTAAGGGCAATATCCTAAAACATGGTATGATTTGCCAGTGTATATAAGAATTGCCATTTCAACTAACCTGTATTAGATTCTTTAAGATGTAAATCAATTCGACACAAAATGAAAACACATTTTTAATATTAAGTTGGTGTGAAAAGGAAAAAAAAAACAGTAGACAAGTTGAATGAGGCAGTTTTTTTAAGAAGGAAGAAGCACCAGCTCTAAGACCTCAGCACACTCTTTGTGGAAAGCAAAGAGAAGGGAGGAACAAAAACAGCTTCACCTGCTTGTTACAAAGTTGCCTGTTCCTGGAAACTTTTAGCTGTCTGCCAGGAAGAGAATCTGGGCTGATGTCATTGGCTGAGGCTCACCTGCTTGTTACAAAGTTTCCCAGCACAGGAATATTGCAGTCCACTCTCCCCCAGGCCACATTCCCTTTGTCTAACAACAGGGATGAAGACCCTTTGTCTGATGATTCACTCCTCAAGCGACCATAACAGCCAGAGCTGAGCAGATCCTAAACCAGGAGCCAGGAACTCTTGCATGTCTCCTACGTGGGTGCAGGGTCCCAAGGACTTGGGCCATCCTCCACTGCCCTCTGCGGCCACAAGCTGGGAGCTGGATGTGAGGCAGGGCCGCTGGGATTAGAACCAGCAACCATATGGGATCTCGATACTTGCAGGATGAAGACTTTAATAACTATGCTATCACACTGGGCCCAAGAGAAATACATCTTTTTAAAAGCCGCTTTATTTTTATTTGAAAGAGTTTTCTAGAGGAGAGAGAGAAAAGTCCACTGGTGCACTCCCCAAATAGCAACGGCCTGAGCTGAGCCCATGTATTACTTCCCTATTTCAGTGTATTATGAGAGTTGATGGAATGGAAATTATTTGCATCTTTAAGTTGCTGCACGTGGATAATGTAGTGCAGTTCTCATGGTCATTTTCAACTCTCTGAAAAAGGATTCGAACCCAGAGGAGGATAACGCAGCCGTAGATCTGCATCACGGGCATTCTCCCATTTCTTTGCAAGAGCCCCTCCCCTGAATTCAGGAGCATTTCCCTCTTACAGAGCCTAGAATGCTGAGCTCTGGAAAGATCAAATTGTTTCATCATCTAATAGATGGCAGATAGAAGCATACAGATGTAAAGATCTTACACGCCATGCCATCTCTCACTTGCTCCCCAGTGAGTTCAATTCCAGTAGTTATGCATATGCAGGTCTTTTAAAAGTTTATTTTATTGGAAAATCAGATTTCTAGAGAGAAGAGACAAAGCTCCTCCATCCACTGCTTACTCCCCAAATGACTGCAATGGCTAGAACTGAGCCAATCTAGAGCCAGGAGCCTCCTGCAGGTCTCCCACATGGGTACAGGGGCCCCAGGCTATGGACCATGCTCTATTGCATTCCCAAGCCATTAGCCTGAAGCTAAATGGCAAGTGAATCAGCTGGAACATGAACAAGCACCCACTTGGATGCTACAGTTGGAGGTGAAGGATTAGCCAGTTGAGCCATTGTGCCAGAGCCACATCTGCAGATTTCCAGAAATGACTACTTCTGCAAAGGCTGAGTGAGACAGAGCTCAAAGCTGCTGTTTTGTGGCTTTACCAGGCAGAGTGACAGAAGGAGGGAGACACAGATTACCATCTGCTGCTTCCTTTCCCATCTGGCTGCAGCAGCTGTGCCAGGCAAGCCGGCTGAAGCCACGAGCTATTCTGGGTCTTCCATGTAACTAGTTGTTTGTTATATAAAAGCCACATTAACTTGTGGAGATTGTGTTAGTTTTGTTTGCACCCACTGTATTAGATTTCCTTACTGTTTTGAGTCATTTCTCATTTGCTTTCCTATTTTCAGGTTAAAGATAAGTATAAATACTAGTAACCATAAATAATGATCAACAATGTATACCTAATCATGATTTTCTTTTTTTTTAAATATTTATTTATTTATTGGAAAGTCAGATATACAAAGAGGAGGAGAGATAGAGGGGAAGATCTGCCATCCGATGATTCACTCCCCAAGTGAGCGCAACAGCCAATGCTATGCTGATCCGAAGCCAGGAGCCCGGAACTTCTTCCAGGTCTCCCACATGATGCAGGGTCCCAAAGCCTTGGGCTGTCCTCAACTGCTTTCCCAGGCCACAAGCAGGGAGCTGGATGGGAAGTGGAGCTGCCAGGGTTAGAACCAGTGCACATATGGGATCCTGGCGTGTTCAAGGTGAGGACTTTAGCAGCTAGGCCACGCCACCGTGCCCATAATCATGATTTTCATGCCTCTTAGTATGTTCTCTTTTTTATTTCACTGGCTGATACAAGTTAAAAAAAAAAAGTAGTGACTGAATAGCAGGATCCTCATTGTCGTCTTGGCTTTCATGGAATGCCAGCAGTGGCTCTTGCTTTCAGCTGGGATTCCAATGGCTTATGTTCAGAAATATTTAATCATCCTCATCAAAAAAAGGTAAATAAAATATAAGATTTTGGTGAGGGAGGGGAGAAAACCATGGGTGGTAGACATCTAACTTGATTTCATTCTATTTAAATAGGCAGTTTTCTGAGCACCACTTATTGAACAGTCTGTTCTTATTTTTTAAAAGATCTATTTTTGAAGTCAAAGAGAGGAAGAGAAAAGAGAGGATTCCTCCATTCATTGGTTTGCCCCCTGGATGGCTGCAATGGCCAGCTCTGGGCCAACCCAGAGCCAACCCAGAGCCAGGAGCTTCATCCAGGTCCCCCATCTCCATGGCAGGGACCCAAACACTAGGGCCATCTTCCACCCCTTTTTCCAGGCCATTAGCAGAAATCTGGATTGGAAATAGAGCAGCCAGGACACTAACCAGTGCCGACTTGAGATGCCAGTGTTATAGGTGGCAACTTTATCTGCTTTACCACACATTGTCCCATTGTCCTCATTTTTAAAAAAGATTTATTTGCACAGGCTGGCACTGTGTCTGCACAGGCTAATCCTCCACTTTGTGGTGGCAGCATCACATATGGGCCCCAGTTGATGTTCCGGCTGCTCCACTTCCAATCTGGCTCTCTGCTTGTGAGGGAAAAGCAGTGGAGGATGGCCCAAGTTTTTGGGACCCTGCACCTGCGAGAGAGACCAGAAGAAGCTACTGGTTCCTGGCTTCAGATCAGCTCAGCTCTGGTCTTTGCAGCCACGTGGGTAGTGAACCAGCAGATGGAAGACCTTCCTCTTGCCTCTTTTTCTCTATAAATCTGCCTTTTCAATGAAAATAAATAAATCTTAAGAAAGGAAGGGAGGAGTCATGGCATGCTGGCCTAGCATCTAAAGTCCTCGCCTTGAATGCATAAGGATCCCATATGGCACTGGTTCTAATCCTGGCAACCCTGCTTTCCATCCAGCTTAGTGCTTGTGGCCAGGGAAAGCAGGTAAAGACAACCCAAAGCCTTGGGATCCTGCACCCTCACGGGAGACCTGGAAGAAGCTCCTCACCCCTGCCTTCATTCCGGCATAGTTTCATGAATTGTGGCGACTTAGGGACTGAATCATGTAATGGAAGGTCTTCTTCTCTGCCTCTCCTCCTCTCTGTATCTCTTACCTTGCAATAAAAATAAATAAACCTTTCTAAAAGAATAGAAAGGAAGAAAAGACAAAAGGAAGACTCTAACATCCTTCTGTCTGGGCTCAGTACAAAGGGTTCCCCTTTCATGAAAGAGTTACACAGAGAGAGAGAAAATCCCCTTCTCATCACTGGTTCACTCACCATGTGGTCATCATGGCCAGAGCTGAGCTACTCTGAAGCTGGAGCCAGGAGCACCCTCCAGTTCTCTCATGTGGGTGCAGGGCCCTTGGGCCATCCTCACTGATTTCTCAGGCCATTAGCAGGAAGTTCAATGAGAAGTGGAGCATCTGGGGGCTCAGTGTGATGGCTCAACTGGCTAAATCCTCACCTTGCAAGTGCCAGGATCCTATATGGGTGTCAGTTCATGTGTTGGCTGCTGTGCTTCCTATAAGCAGAGAGTTGGACTGGAAGTGGAGCAACCAGGACATGAACTGGTGCCTGTATGGGACGACAGTACTCTAGGTGGAGGCTTAGTCTACTACACAGTGGCACTGGCCCCATCCATTTTGTTTTAGGAAATGTTCTTATTTTTTTTAAGATTTGTTATTATTTTTTTTTTTATTGCAAAGGCAGATTTACAGAGAGAAGAAACAGAGACAGAGAGAAAAATCTTTCATTACTGGTTTATTCAACAAGTGCTGCAATATCCAGAGCTGAGCCAATGCAAAGCCAGAAGGCAGGAGCTTCTTCCAGGTCTCCCACGTGGTGCAGGGTCACAATGCTTGGGGCTGTCCTCTCCTGCCTTCCAGGCCACAGGCAGAGAGGAATGGAGGAGCTGCCACTTATTCCTGGTTCCCAGGACTGGCCTGTGCTAGGGGATGCAGGCCCAGAGACTCTTTCTAAGGAAGCTGTGTTGGCATCAGCCTTCCTTTCACTTACAACTCACTGCTTCCAAGGGGGAGCAGGAGGGCTGTGTCTTTAATGAGAAACTGCAAAGGGAAGGAGGGAGGGACAGAGGCCTCGGCCAGAATCACTCAGCCAAGGGGCTCAGCCCAGAGCAACAGATGGCTCGTGCTCACTGGAGGCACTCAACTGTCTCTCTACTTTCCTCTGGTCCTTCATCTTGAGTCCAATGTCCACCCTTTTCTCAAAGAAGTTGACCAGCACAGACTCTGGCAGGATGGAGGCCAGGATCTGCTTGAAGGAGATGCACCAGTCTGCGTCCATGGTGTTCCCAATGCGGGCAGTGGCTGTGGGGTTCTCACACTGCAGGGAGCCCATGCTGACCACTGAGTAGGAGGACATGGATATGTTGTATTTGGTTTCATCATCAGACAGGAGCTGGGAGGGTGAGCCCTGCCCCTCTCCACTGCCCCCCTCTACCACCGTCTGTCTCTCCTGTGGCACTTTTCCAAGGTGGGTGTCTCCACCAGCTTTGGTCCAGGGGTCCCCCGTGGCTGTCAGCTGGCATTCCTGTACTGGGGCCTGATGGGATTCCCTTGCAGGTAACTGAGGGTCCCCCGTGGCTGGCACTCCTGTACTGGGTTCTGAGGGGTTCCCTTGCTGGTGACTGGGGATGCCCCATGGCTGGCGGCTAGAGTTCCTGTACTGGGCCCTGAGGGGGTTCCCTTGCTGGCAGTGGGGACTCATCCTCAGTGGAACTGCCCTGGTCCTTGCTGAGAGTGCCACCCGTGGGCTTCTTGACACTGGGACTGAAGAACTTCCCCACCTCACTGATGCGGAGGAGGCTGGCCACTGTGGCAATGGCGTGGTACAAGTCCTGCTCCAGGGGGTCCTCACTGAATTTGTTGTATAGCGTCTTGCACAGCTCAATGAATTGCTCCTATCAAGGGGGAAGGCAGAACAAGGAGATGGTAAGATGGCCCTGGTGTTCACTCCATGCATGCTGCTGGCCACTGGAACTGGTGCCAGGATGTGGTCCTGTTTATCGGCACCAGACCAGTGCTCTAGTCTTACTTCACACACGGGAATGTGGAGGCTCAGTGTCGGGAGGGATCCAAGCAGTCACTCTGCCATCCTGGGCTCTCCCCCTGCAGCAGACAGCAGCTCTGAGCTGGGCTCTCTGCTCCGACATGTGGTTCTGCTGTTGGAGATGCATGGCTGTGTGAACCCGGCCTCGACCATGGCTTCCTCCCTGGGGTCTGGCCTCACCCTTGGCCTTCTAGCTCCGGGGTGAAAGCGACTTCAACTCTGACCTTCAGGGAAGCTCCCAGAGGGTGCTGCTGAGGGGGTGAGGGTGGTCTTGGGTCTCTAAACCACATCCTGGCCTGAGAGAGGGGTGAGACCACCCATTCCTCAGGCTGGAGAAGGCTTAGGCTCACAGGGCCCCTCTGGGCATAGCCAGGGCCAGCCCAGCCCAAGCACTAAGGGCAGGCTGTAGTTCAGGGACTGCCTCTGGCTACTTTCTGCAGCTGAACCCAGGGGTTGCCACTTCCTGCCTGGGAGACCCTTGGGAAGACAAAGAAGCTCCTGTCCCCAGAGAGCAGGAAGTGGAGAGCAGACAAGCCTGTGTGCACAGGGTGCCTGGGCAGGGAGTGTGAGGAAGCAGCTGTGGGGTAACCTTCCCCAGGGCTGCTCAGACCTACCACTGTCCCTTCACCTGAACAATTGGTCCCTGTGCAAATGGCCCCTAAGCAACAAGCTCCTGACTTTCCAGAATCCTCACTGGGACTCCTGGGCGCTGAAGTGAGCTAGTGAGTGATGAGTGCCACCCTGTGTGGACCCTGGGGTGTGGTGCTGACATGGCATGCTGGGCCCCGGTGTCCCTCAGGGTTCTGTAGAGGTGTCTGCTGCAGCCTCCTGCCTGGCCTACCTGGTTCATTTTGGGCAGATCCTGGATGGTCTCCTTCTGAGCCTCTCCCTCCTTGGCCTACATGCGAAGGTAGAGTCGGTAGTCTGGGGGGCTGGTCCCCTTCTCCTCTGTGAGTCAGGAGGAAAAGACATTAATCTCGGCCTGTCATGACAGAAAGAGGGCTTGAGCTTGGGGTCAGGGGGTGGGATGGGCCCTGTTACAAAGCACCTGCATCTGGGGAGGTGCTGATGGGGAGAATGCCCTGAAGAAGGGATGGCTCAATGGGATGAGGATGGTCTGGAGGCTGTGTTCTAGGCTGTGAGAGGTTGGCCTGAGGAGGTGAGAACTTCACAGGGGACACCAGGCATCACAGGGGACAGCAGGGCCTCCAGCCAAGGTCACTGACCTTCAGGGCATGCCTGTCAACTGGGTGCCAGGCAGTGGGGGAGCTTTGCAGAAGTGACTGGGGATGGACACAGCCCACATGAAACCCCAGACCTCAGCCCTGAGACCCTGACTGGCCGTCAGGGCAGAATGGCCTGTACCTGCTCGCTTTTCTTGGGTATCCTCGCTTCTGCTTCCTTCCCGATTTTCCTGTGGTAGTGCCTCTGCCAACCAGGAAATAACAACATGGAGCACATTCTTCTGCAGCTGGGACTGCAGCCCACCTCTGCTGAGGTCCAGCCTGTGCTTGTGCGGGAGCAGCCCCGGGTTCTGGTTCCCTGCATGGAGCCTCCTGCTTTGGCCTGACCCTGGGCTCTGCCCTCCGGCACCACCGTCAAGGAGGGCCTGGGCATTTCCCCACTTGATCACTGAAAGCAGCAGCAGCTGTATCCCACTCCGTTTTTTTTTTCTTTTTCCAGAGGACTACAAGTCTCCCCTATATGCAAACAGCAATGCGGTGTGATGGACAAGCCTGAGAACTGATGAATCCTGTGGTTTTGTTAGGAAAAGGTCACGTGTGTGGGATCACACCTATGACAGTTACACCGGGAGGGAAGAAACTTGACAGACATGAACCCTGTGCTCAGCACATCCGCTGGAGGAGGACCACACTGTGCGGTTCACGTGTGAACATGAACCTGGGGAGGAACAAGCTGCCCTGGTCTCCCAGGCCTGCTGCCAGAAGACAGGCGAGGACAGAAGTAGCCCAGCCCTCAACTGCCTCAGTGAGCGTGGGTGACAGTGCAGGGCCCGGGGTGCTGTGGGGTCTGAGGTCAGGGTTCTGCACCCAGAAGCACACAGCACAAGCTTAAAGCTTCCCAGGTTGCCCAGGGTCCGTGTGTAACAGGAAGCACACCTGCTGCTTTGGCCTGTTACTGGAAGCCAAGGCCCTCCGGGTCTGTGAGCTAAGCCTTCATGGTCAGCAGGACCTGTGGGTCCTTCGACACACACACACTATTTGTTTCCCCTTTGGGCCTGCCACATGACGTCACAGCACAGCATGGTCGCCAGCCGTGTCATCAAGTCCTGGGGTCCAGGAGGCACTTGGCAGCCTGTGCTTTATACTTTAAATGCAGTGTGAGGATAAGGATGGGTTCTAATGGCTCAACATCCGTATTTCTTCTCCACAAAGCAGTGTTTTGTGCTTTCTGAGGAGAGCATGTGCCCCACCCTACCCGGCTTCCCCTGGTCCCTGTGGTCTGTTTCCCGTGGTTGCAGTGACCACCCCTGCTTTTCCTTCCTCTGCCTATGCTGACCCATGGCCCTGTGCATGTCCTCACCTGCTAACCACCCCACAGCAGGACACACGTGCCAGTGGTAGAGTCTGCCAGGCCTGGGAGCCTTGGGGCAGGAGTGGGGATGGGGGTGTGAGGGGATGCTGCCACCCATAGCCAAGGGAGCCTTCCTGTGCTCCGGGCACTGACCTTGAGCCTCCCAGGGCAGGAAAAGATCCAGATCAGAGGCCAGAGGAGATGCTGGGAGGACAGCATAGGAGCAGGAGGGCAGAGGGAGGAGGAGCCGAGATCCAAGAAGACAGACACAAGAGAAACAGGAGTGAGATCACTGCCTGCCCACAGGGACACCTGGCTGCAGGAAGCCAGGGTGGACCACAGCTTGAGACCCCTCTCAGGACACCCCAATGCCCCCAGCCCCCCAGCTGGAAGCCTCAGGGAGCCACTCACTTCTGAGGAGCTGTCTTCTGTGAAATAGTGGGTGGCCTCCACGGCTGACTCGGCTTCCTCAGAGTTCAGGGCTACACTCCGAGATGGGTAGAGTGAGAGTCTTACCTAGAGCAAGCATCCCAGCTCCTGGGCAGACCGCACCTGCCCTTTCCCGCTGGACCGGCCTGACCATTCCTGGACACCCTCCCCCTGCCCCCATGACCCGTGTGGCAGTTTTAAGGCTGATTGGCTTGGATTATTTGCTACTTTCTGATTCTTAGGTGAGTTTGTAAACACCCAGTGTCTTTCAGGTTAAAGTGCAATCAGTGCCTCATACAATCCAGGGGTGTGGGGGCACGTGCTCACCTGGGGGAAGGTGCAGCTTGTAGAGCACCTTGAGCTTTTCAGTCATGTCCCCGAGGTACATCCCGCCTGTGGGAGAAGGCAGGAGGAGGGCATGATGAGAGGGGCTCCCCAGGACGGTGCAGGCTCCAGGGGGCTGGGACAGGACCTCCTCACAGCTGCAGAGGGCCCGGGAGCCAGTCTCAGGCTTCCTCAGAGTTATCGCCAGGCCAGCTCAGCCTTCCCTGCGGCCAGCTGCCCCAGCCCCACAAGGGAGGGAAGGATAGACTGGCCAGGGATGCCATGGGAAAAGGCCAAGGCAGGGTCAGGCCCCTGGAGGCACTCACTTTTGTTTTAGGACAGTTTTAAGATGTGTATATCTTTAAAATAGAAAGGCAGATTTACCAGAAAAAAGAACAGAGAGAAGAAGATCTTCCATCCATTGGTTCCCTGGCTGGAGCTAAGCTGATCTGAAGGCAGGAGCCAGGAGCCTCTTCCATGTCTCCCATGTGGCTGCAGGGTCCCAAGGCCTTGGGCCATCCTTGACTGTTTTTCCCAAGCCAGAAGCAGGGAGCTGGAAGGGAAGTGGAACAGTCAGGATATAAACCAGCACCCACATAGGATCCCAGTGCATACAATGTGAGGACTTTAGCCACTGGACTATAAATCTTAATTTTTTTTTCCTTTTTGCCTAACAGTCAACGCCAACCTAACTTGAATCCAGTGCCTAACTTGAGTTAGTCTGATCATTTGGAAGAAAGTTTCCCTTGTCCTGGGGCTACTGAGGGGATAGCACGTCCCTGGAGCTGCAGACAGCCATGGACTCTGCAGGAAGCGCAGTTCAGAGAACATCAGATGGTGAGAGAGTGTACAACACTGCATCTGAGTCCCTGGATCCAGCCAGGCCTGACACTGTCTCCCTCAACTCTGCAGTTCCTTGAGCCCATGAACTTCTGCTGTAAGCTGCCTTGTGCTTTCTAAGGGAGTGTTCTGCCTAAACTCCAACAAGGCTTAACTTCTACCACTGCGACTTCACAGCAAGTGCATGCACGGATGCTTCCAAACCCCTTCTCTTCCGGCAGGAACCTCTGTGCTGAGGATGCTCTAGGAAGACAAGGTCACAGTTACAGGTCCTGTCCCTGTTCTCGGCTCTTACCTTAAACACCATGTAAAGGTCTTCCAGCTCTTCAGTGGAGAAGCCAGTGTCCCCAGGTATGGCTCAGACCTAGAAGAAAGAGACAGGCTGGGCTGAGGGACTCTCAAGTGCCTGTTGCAGCAGGAGACAGATTGTCACAGGGACCAGGGCAAAGGCACGAGCTGCCCCTCAGTGTGGCAAGTCGGCCATCCCACTGAGGGCAGGGTCTTGCCCCGCTGGCCTCTCACCACCCAGTCTGCCACTCAGTGCAAGCTCCCTGAGGTCTGTGCCCTAGTGGGCTGAGAGTGGGGGACATGGGACATTGTTTAGTTCCTCCTGTCTGGACCTCTGCTGTGACCCAGGTGCCAGCTCTTGGGGAGGGGTCCTGAAACCACCAGCCAGCTACTCTCAGTCAGCTGGAGCCATCCGTTTCTGTCACTTGTGACCTCAGAGTGTCTGAAAGGTTTGTGGGGGGCACTGGGGAAGTGGGAACGAGGTTGGCAGTCAAGAGACCACGAGTAGATCCTGTGGCAGGGGCACCTGCACCCATCCAGGGATGGGGAGGATGAAGGCTGGAGGCAGAGGCACGGCACGCAGGTGCTCAGAGGGCAGCTGTGGGATGCTCGGGGCGAGGGGAGGGGACATGTAGGAGACAGAGGGTGCTATGCTTTGGGGGAACGGGGCTTCAGACAGGCTTCCCACTGGCCCATCTGGGAGCAGAATAAAACGACCATGTCCTCTCCCTGCCATGCCCCTGCCTGGTCCCACACATCCTAATGCTGACACTGGTGGTTAGGCAGCAGGGGAGTGTGCGTCCTGCCCCACAGACAGGCCTGAGTGGGAGCCCCCCACGCCCACATACCATGCTCCTCTTGGCTGTGTCCTCCAAGCACTGGATCACTTTCAGCCTGTTTAAACCGCATCTGTTCAGCGTCGCTGGCCCGCAGGATGCTGAATTTCTGCAGGCAGGTGGGGATGATTAGGTGAGACAATGCACAGCCACGGGGTGCAGGGCTGTCACCCCCCGCACCTCCCCACTGAGTGCTGACCTCATAAGAGGCTTTGAGGAGGTCAAAGATGTCTGTCTGTGTGGGAGGCTCGTCTCCACTGGCCAGCAAGGCATGGAGGTGTGGCACTGGTGGGGAAGTACTCTGCTCATTGACCACATCGTCCAGACATCTGTGTGGGGAAGGGGTCAGACAGCGAGACCACTCAGTTATGGCAGACCCTCCAGGAGGATAGAGCGTGCCCCAGCAGGTACCCTGGCAAATCAGGGAGCTCCCCTCAGGCCTCAGCCCCTCCTCGCATTAGGCTCTGCACATGGAAGGTGCCGGGCTATGTTTTAGGGCTCCATGGGCAGGGAGCCCCTTTATGTATCCAATTGGAGGGATGGTGTGCTTGTCCTGGCCACGAAGAATGAGACCAAAGGATGGAGTCTCAGGAGAGCCAGGAGGCTTCTGCTGTGGCCGTGTGTGCAGCGGCCCAGGTAACCTGGCTTGTTTAAGGCCACACGTTGGGACCTAGCCTGGCCAGGACGCCCTGACCCCTGCTGTGGGTAGGAAATGCATGGCAAGCAAGCTGTCTGGACCTCAGGGTGGACACGCAGCTACCCAGCCCAGCTCTCTGGAGGCACCATGGCTGTCCCTGCTGTGTGGGAGCATCCCAGGACAGGGACATGGATGTGGGGAGGCTGTCAGGACTGGGCAGAACTCAGGGCAGGTCAGAAAGAGCCAGAAGGGGGCTGAGCATGGCTGACAGGCTTGACAGCCAGGTAGGCAGATGTCCACTGCTCCTCTGAATGAAAGATAAACAATTGGCATGGATGCACAAGCTCAGCCCTGGTCAGTGTCCTGCAGGATGTTGCAAGGAGACAGGAACAGAAGAATCCATGACAAGGCAGACACAGGTACATAGTAGGCGCATGTTAACCTGTGCATCCCAGAAGGAAATCTACAGGTACTTGCACAGAGGAGGAAGCATCCAGGCTGGCTCGGGGCCTCAGGTGTGACAGGCCAGGCATCAGACTCCCAGAGCAGGTCTGGTTGGGGAATGGATAGCAGTGAGCCGCGGAGGTGTAACAAGACTGCTTGGAGGACAGAGTTGCCGTTGTTACTGCATGGTTTTGGTGTGGTGTACCCTCAGAATCTTTCCCTGAACGCGTCTGAGCAGTAGCTCTCTAGTCAGACCACCCACTGTGCTACTTCCTCCCAGCATTTGGCCTGTGAAGACACAGGTCAAACAGATCCATGTCTCACATCACAGTGTTACAGTGTTAGGCTTGGCACCTGGCTCCAGCTGCATATTCTTGCTTCCTGCTAATGTGATTATTGGGATACAATGGTGATGGCACAAGCAGCTGTTTTTCTGCAACCCGGATGGGAGATCTAGGTTGAGTTACTGCTTCCTGGCTTTACCTGGTCTGGTCTCAGTCACTCAGAACACTGGGAAATGAACCAAGATACAGGAGATCTGTCTACCCCTGGAATTAATGTAACAGTAAACAGGAAGGAAGCTCTTCTTTGCCCCTGCATATCCCTGGGCCCAGCCATAACTGGGAACTTGTTAGGTATGGTCACTTGATGTTAACTGAGTAAGAACCAGGACTGGCACAGAGCAGGGTAGAGAAGCTGAGCACGTTCACCTGCCCAAGATGGTCATGGCCTCGCCCTCGTCATTGCAGCCGAGCAGCTGCTCCATGTTGGCATCCAGGATGGCCAGGGCCACCTGCAGGACCACCTTGATGCCCTCGTAGAAGAAGCAGTCAACAATGACCACGGCGCTCTCGAACGGCATGACGCTGAGGAAGAGGGTCAGGAACCATGAGAGCGAGATGCTGGAGATCACGCCCAGCTCCTGCATCTTCTCTGACAGCTGGGGCAGGAAGTCTCTTGTGAGTTCTTCAAAAATGCCTTGGTCAATCAGGGCTCCTGTGGGGAGTGGGTACGAGCTGAACGGTGAGTCAGTCCCATGGCTTCTGGTGGGCCCTCATGGGGAATGAATGCTGGGGTCTGAGGCCCCATTCATCACCACCCACCAGTCCCACTATGGTGAGGGCTGTCAGGTCAATGGAGAAAACAAGAAGCAATAGGTCTTTATTTTTCCTACAGTTTCAGTGCATTCCTCTCTCTGTACGTCCCCTTGGGGAGGGCACTGATTTCTCCATGAAAGCATCAGAATCAGACTGCCTGTGAATAGCCCAGTCCCAGAGGACTCAGAGTGGCAACTCCAGAATGCTTGCGGCAGTGGAAGGGCAGTGGAGGCAGCTGAGCATGGCACACAGTTACATGCACTTCAAAGGCTGGGTTTGCACAGTTCAGAGACATGCTGGATGTGTGTTTGTAGTAGCTGCAACTGAGTGACAAATGTGTGGGGGTGCGCCACACTCTCTGGTTTTCATGTTTGGAATCTCTCATAATAGAGAGGTTTACATGAAGTTCGATGGATGGGCATTCAGACTTGCGGTGGACTTTCACCAGTTCCTGAGGGTGGCACAGCTGCACAGCTTCTGGCTGGCAGTGATGTGGGAAGCCATACATGGGCTGGCAAGAGTGTGGACCCTGCAGGCAGAGGTCTGGGTGCTCTCTCCCTTCCTAGTGGTGCTTGCTAGCTCATTTGCAGCACAGGCTGGACAGACTACAGGAGGCTTGGGAGGCTCCCAGCCTGGGGCAAGGCTGTCCCCTTCAGTAAGGGAGCCCCTTGAACCACTCACCCACCACCCTGGTGTTGTAGTAGTCGGGCAGCATGCGCTTGCACAGGGCCACCAGGAGCCAGAAGGCCTCCTCCTCGCTGCCGTAGAGCAGGAGCACTGAGGTCACGATGTTCATCGCCTGCTGGGCACAGGGATGGTGAGTAGGCCAACAGGCACGATGTCCTCTCCCTGACAACAGGCCAGCCCCTCGAGGAGAAACCATCCTCGCCCCAATCTGGGAAACTGGCCAGAAGGCAATTTTCAGGAAATGAACTTGACAGAGCTTCAGCTTGGCCTTGGATGTCAGCACAGAACACTTCTGGGCAGGAGTGGCTGCAGGGCCCAGCTGGGGTGGAAGCAGCTGCATGGCTGGGGGGTGGCCATTTGCTGCAGCAGGCACTCACACAGCACAGCAGCAGCTGCTAACAGACTTACGAAGAAGCAACAAAGTAGGCAAACTGGCATTTTTTGGTCTGCTTTTTTTTTTTTAATTTGAAAGGCAGAGAGAAAGATGAAAAGAGAGAGAGAGAGGAATCTTTCCTCTACTAAATCATTTATTCAATGGTGGAGGCTGAGCCATGCCAAAGTCAGGGACTAAAAGCCTGGCCACATGGGCCGTCTTCCACATGGGGTGTGTGTGTGTGTGTGTGTGTGTGTGTGTGTGTGTGTGTGTGTGTGTGTGTGTGTGTGTGTGTGTCTGGCCACATGGGCCGTCTTCCACATGGGGTGTGTGCATGTTTGTGTGTGTCTGTCTGCCTGGCCACACGGGCCGTCCTCCACGTAGGTTTGCGTGCGTGTGTGTGTGTGTGTGTGTCTGCCTGGCCACATGGGCCGTCTTCCACATAGGGGTGTGTGTGTGTGTGTGTGTGTGTGTGTGTGTGTGTGAGGGAGCAGTGTCCAGGCCATCTTCTGGGCCTTCCCCAGTGCAGCAGGTGAGACTCAAATCCACATTTTGCTGCAGGGCTGGCTCTCAAAGATCACCTCTCTGCAGTGGTCTCTAGTTGGTGATGTGGCACACAGAACAGGAGCTGTGGGGAGTGGGCTTCCCTGAAATCCCAGGGCAATTTTAGGCAAATAGAAATCATATGACCTGCTCAGGAAAATGTCCATTAGATTTCAAAACAAAGTTCTCAGAAATGCTAGTCAAAAATCTCAAATGATACCCACTACAACAACCAACCAGACAGAAGCCTTGGCAGGGAGCTGGAGAGGCCAGAGCCCTGGTGAATGACTGCTGGGAGGGTAGATGGCACAGCTGCTGTGAGCAGTGGAGGCTTCCACCATGGGCAGGACCATCATGTGACCGAGCAGTCCCACCTCTGGGGACACCAGCTGCTGTCAAGGCAGCAGGCAGAGCAACCCCAGTGTCCACCAGAGGACACAGGGATGAGGGAAACATGGAGCTTACATCAGAATATGACCCAGCCTTGAAAAGGAAATAGACTGGAGCTGGCATTAAAGTGAAGTGGATAAACCACCATGCCACCTGGGACACCAGTATCCCATGAGGGCACCAGTTCATGACCCAGCTGCTCTAATTCTGATCCAGCACCTTGCTAATGGCCTGGGAAAGCAGCAGCAGATTGACCAAGTACTTGGGCCCTTGTTATCCACATGGGAAACGCCGAAGCAGCTTCAAGCTCCTGGCTTCAGCCTGGCTCCACCCTGGCTGTTGTGGCCATTTGAGTAGTGAACCGGCAGATGGAAGGTCTCTTCCTCTTTCTCTTGTCTATTATTCCCTCTCTTTCTGTAACTTTGCATTTCAAATAAACAAACCTTAATAAAGAAAGAGAGAAAGAGGAAGGAAGGAAGGAGAGAGAGAAAGACAGACAGACACTGATTGGGACATGTGTAGTAGCACAGTGAGCTAAGCTGCTACCTGCCATGACGACATCCTATGTGTTCACCAGTTTAGGTCCTGGTTGCTCTACTGCTGATCCAGTTCCTTGATAATGTGCTGGCCAAGCAACAGAAAATGGCCCCTGCCACCCATGCAGGAGACTGGTGGAGTTCCTGGCTCTTTTCTTCACCCTGAACACCCAGGAGTCATTTAAGGAATAAATCAGCAGATGGAAGTACTCTCTTTCTCTCTGTAACTGCCTTTCAAACAAATAAATACGTTGTAAAATAAGATAAAAAAAAAAGATTCTGACATGTGGGACAGCATATAAGAAACCTGAGGGCACTGGCTCAGTGAGATAAGTCACTTACAAAAGGACAAACTACATGAGGTTGGAGGTCCCCAGGACAGTGAAACAGAGACAGAACAAAGGCAGCAGCAGCCAAGGGCTGTAAAGGCTGTGAGGGCTGGGGATGGAGTTACTGGTCAGTGGGTACGAGCTCCAATCTGACAGGGTGGGGAGTCCTGTGGATGGATGGGACAATGGCTGCACAGAGTGTGAATGTACTTAACATCAGCAAACCAAATGCTTAAACATGGTGCAAACGGGCCCTATGTTGAGGTACAGAGGGTCATCCCAAACTAGAATGCTGGTTCCAGTCCTGGTTGTTCTGCTTCTGATCCAGCTTCCTGCTAAGGCATCTGGGAAGGCAGCAGAGTATGGTCCAAGTACCTGGGCCCCTGCCACCCATGTGAGAGACTCAAATGGAGTTCCTGGCTCCTGGCTTTGGCTTGGCTTCAGCTCTGGCTGCTGTGGCAAGTGAGCCAGAGGATAAAAGATCTCTGCCTCTCTGTCCTTCTCTTTGTCTTTGAAGTAAAAGAATCTTTTAAAAAATGGCTAAAATGGTAAATTGTATGTATACACACACACACAATCAATCAAATGCAGGACGAAGGAACAGAAGCACATTGGAAGACAACACCTGACATGAGGATGAGATGAGTAATTGCAGCTGTTTGTAAATTACATCTGTTCTGCGACTCCTTTCTGGGGTACAGGGCACAGTCACAGGTTTGTAAGGCCCCCACACAGGTCCCACAAGCCTCTGGAGGGGGTGCAAGTGAGATGCTTTCTCTGGACTCCTCTTTACCTGGCAGTAACCAATAGTGGGGTTTCGGAAAGCGTAGGCAGTCAGAACCCGCCGGAGCGCAGCGATCCCAAGTTCGTTCTGGAAGGCGGGGTGCTCAGGCATGGAACGGTGGAGGTCTCGCTCAATCTCCTCCGTGGCCAGGCTGTACTTGCCCATGGACTTCTCCACCAGCTCAGCGTAGTAGCCAGGGTGAGTCACCATCTCATTCCAGGCCCCTGGGGAGACACAGGTGGCAGCTGTCTCTCCTACCCCTATTGGCGCTCTGGCAGCAGTAACAGGGAAACTGGAGGCAACAATGCCCTACAGAGGACAGGCAGGATTTGAGGTGGGAAGCGACCATTGCAGGGTTCAGGCAGTCGTCATGGTAGAGACTGTCTCGAGCTCCCCCCTGTGAGGAACAAGGCATCAGAGGCCTGACATGGAGCCATGACCCTGGGGTTTGCTGCCCACGATGCTTCGTGTGCCTCAGGTCCCCTTACAGAGCCAAGGCTCCGAGTGCCTGTGATGTGACGGGATGGCAGTTCCCGTTTCACTTCAGAAAGGACAGCCCTGGGCCAGAGAAGCTCAGGTAAGGAGAGCCCTGAGCCAGGGCAGTGGGCAGCAGGGCCAGGCTCACCTGAGAAGAGAAGCCACAGCTCCCCGCGCAGGCTCTCAGGGATGCCCTTCAGGACCAGCTCCCGGGTCTTGGCTGTGCGGTACATGCACATGCCACGCCCATACTCGAAGAAGTGGATGTCCCATGACTCCTCTTTCATCTTCTCTTTGGCCTGAGGGAAAAGTGAACCAGCGCATTGAGGACCCTAAGTGGGTCTCAGAGTGCTGAGACCTGGGTGACCCACCCTCCACCTCTGCTCCTGAGGCCCGTGGAAGCCTGCTATGTTCTCCACATAGCAATGGTTAGCCAGCAGGCTGCAGACTCTCCAGGGACTCCAGGTAAAGCATGGGTGGAGCTGGGCTATCACACCTCCTGTGAACGGCACCCATACACCCCCAGAGGGCAGCCTCAGCTTGTCAGCCCTAAGGGCCTGAGCCAGCCAGGAAGGCACCAAGCCAGCGGCAGACCCCTGCTTTCTCTTGAAAGGCTTGGCTGTGGACCAGGGCTGAAGGCCAGTGCCTGCAGCTCACCTCCTTGACTCCTAGGTCCTCTGTGGGCAAGTTTCTTCGGAAGAGCTTGAGCAGGCCCTGGGAGGCGGTGGGCACGTTCTGTGCACTGAAGCCCTGGTGGCCACTGAGCGGAGATGACGGGCTGGTGGGCTGTTGGTGTGTCTCCTGAGGAGCTGGGAGAAACTAGGGAATAAAAGCAGGGAAGGGAGAGCACCTAGCACCCGAGTTGCTCAAGGGGCTGCGACTTTACCTTGACCCAGAACTGGAACAGAGCGGCTGTGGGGCCCAGGGCCATACTGGAGCAGTGGGAAGCTGTGGCTACCTCCTTCACTCTCCCTTTGGCCAGCTGTCCCTGATGTAGGAAGGACACCCATTGGGGCCAGCATGATGGCTCAACAGGCTAATCCTCTGTGGTGCTAATGTCCTGTATAGGTGCCGGTTCATGTCCTGGCTGCTCCGTTTCCTATCCAGCTTTCTGCTTGTGGCCTGGGAGAGCAGTGGAGGATGGCTCAAAAGTTTGAGCCCCTGTACCCATATGAGAGACTTGAAAGAAGTTCCTGGCTTCTGCCTTCAGACCAGACTAGATCTGGCCATTGTAGCAATTTAGGGAGTAAGCCAGAGGATGGAAGAGCTCTTTGTCTCTCTTCTCTGTGATTCTACGTTTCAAATTAAGGAGAGAGAAAGAGGAGAGAGAGACAGGGAGAGAGAGACAGAGAAGAAAGAGAAACCTGACTTGGATAGTGCATAATAATCAGGTAGGTTTCAGCCAGCCACAGGCAGCTGACTGATCAGGCCACACCCACACAAGACAGATGACTACTCTACCTTGCTTGCCCATTTCCTCTGCCAGTTCTGCATGCTGCCCTAGTCATGACCTGTTCTTTGCCCAGGTGAATTCTTCTGAATTCAGTCTGCCTGTAGCTTTTCAACACTCCCTTCTAGGGCATGACTGTCAGGCCAGGCAGCTGGGATTCCTTGTGCTGTGTTGTGTTCACTTTCCCTGCCCTGGCCTCTACGACGCACAAACCCTGCTTAGCTCCAACAGGGGACAGCTGCTGTTGGTATCTGCCCTGAGCCTCAGCCATCCTTGGACTCCCTGCTGGAACAGTGTGGACCTAGGTGGCACAAGGAGTGGCTGACAGTCAGCCTTGCCTCATCTGGTATCTGATCCCTTGGCCACAGTGAAGGCTATGTCGTGGGGACTGAGCCATGGCTGCTGGTAGTGTCTGGACAAATGCTACAAGCAGGTGGTGGCACCAGTGTCGCCACAGAGCCAAGAAATGGAGGCAGCAGGGGATGGCAGGGCAGAGGCCGGGGGATGCTGAGTCCTGAGCCAGACTGCACCTGTCAAGGTCTGCCTGTCCATCAAGTGAGGAAAGGAGTCCTCTCCTGGCCCCTATGCCCCACGATCAATCCTGTGCTCATAATGGCTCCAGATGAAGAGGCTCCCATACTGCCCTAGGCTGACTGTTGTCTGTGAAGATATCCTGAGGTTTCCATCTTCCCCTCACGGCCCCTGGGCCTGTGACCCTGGTGTGGCCTATGGTAGGCACAGCACATTCCACACTAGGTATTTTTTTTTTAAGATTTATTTTTCTTTTTATTGGAAAGGTGGATATACAGAGAGGAGAGATACAGAGGAAGATCTTCTGCCTGATGATTCACTCCCCAAGTGTCCACAACGGCTGGAACTTAGCCAATCCGAAGCCAGGAGCCTCTTCAGGTCTCCCATGCTGGCGCAGAGTCCCAAAGCTTTGGGCCGTCCTTGACTGCCTTCCCAGGCCACAGGCAGGGAGCTGGATGGGAAGCAGGGCCGCCGGGATTAGAACCAGCGCCCATATGGGATCCCAGCACGTGCAAGGTGAGGACCTTAACCACTACACCATTGCGCAGGGCCCCCATACTAGGTATTTGCACCAACATAAGCCTAGGTCCACCTCACTGTGTGCTGTGTGCACTGCTTAATAAGGATAAAGACACAGACCTAGCACCGGCTGGGTGGGAATACGCTTGATACTCCCTGGGTCTAACCATCAACAGAGATCTGCATCATCCTATCGGGCTGCGGGCTGCTTCCCAGTACTGGAACCTACGGATACCTGCATCACCCTGTCGGGCTGCGGGCTACTTCCAGTACTGGAGCTTGGAAATTTGCCTTCCTATTGCATGCAGAGGGTGAGGGATCCTAGGGTAGTTCTAGGAAGGCACTAGGTGGACATGAGGAAGTGGGTGGAAGTCTTCCTGCATGTCTTTACAATGTCACTCTGTTTCTATAAAATGCTACTGTCAAAAAGCCTGATGACTCTCTGATTTTCCTGTCCTCATATGTGACTTGGTCTTTTTTTTTTTTGACTAGCTGTACAAAGTAATTCTTAAAAAATATTTAAGGTTTGGGGCTGGTGCCATGACATAGCAGGCAAGGCCTCTGCCTATGCTGCCAGCATCTCATATGGGCACCAGTTCATGTCCTGGTTACTCCACTTCCAATCCAGTTCTGTTGGTGTGTCTGTGAAAGCAGAGGAGGATGGCTCAAGTCTCTGAGAGGCCAGGAAGAAGCTCCTGGACCAGGGCTCTGAGGAGCTGAGTATGAGCTTCAGCATTCAGATTCCACATTGCCTAGGGTCAAGGGCACTGTGGTGCCAGAGCTACCGATTTTTGTGGAGAAGCAAGACCCAGTACTGGATTTGCACGTGGACTTTGCTAATTATAAAGTGTTTCTGTAAATTCAGGTTAAGCAACAACAACAGCAATGCACTTATCTTGGTACTTGGAAGCAAGGATGCCAACGAAGATGAACAGGGTTCTGTCTATTGGACAAGGAGTCAACCTGAATCAGGCCCCTCTGATGTCAGACTAAGTTGCTAATCCATGGCATATGTGCATGGTTCATTAGGATATTAATAAGTAAGTGCTGGGACCCACATTGTACAGGCTAAGCTGCTGCCTATACTGGCATTTATATCGGAGAACTGGTTTGAGTTCTGGTTACTCTGCTTTGATCTGGGTCCCTGCTAACGTGCCCGGGAAAGCAGCAGAGGATGGCCCAAAGACTTGGGTCCCTGCCATTTATGTGGGAGACCAGGATAAAGTTCCTAGCTTCTGGCTTTGGCCTGGTCCAGCCCCAGCTATTGCAAGCATTTAAGAGAACAGTTTTCTCTCTTTTGTGCCATCTCTCTGACACTCCATCTTTCAAATAACAAGTAAAGCAATAAATAACAATTTTAAAGTAAATAAACTAGTTGGCTACACCTGGAGGAGACAATAAAACCAACGCTTTCATCATGTTGGCAACTAGTGAATAAAAGGCAATAGTAAAAGATTTATCTACCTTTCCTAGAAGCTGTGCCTTGGGGACCTCAGGAGTTAACCAGGGGTGTTTCTTCAAGGGAGTGTTTTAGCTGCCAGACAGAAGTAATCACAGGTAATAGTGTCACTGTTTTCCAAAACCCAAGAATTGGCCCCAGCTAGGCAGTGCTTCTCACTGGCTACAGAGGCAAGCAGGTGCTAGAAACCTCAGCTGAGGCAGCCTCTACTCACTGCTGCCTGCAGGTGGCGCTCTCACAGAAACCAACAGCGCCAAGGTGTGATTGAGGTTCTGTGTCACTACTCAACTGACCCACAGGAGGGAGGGGACAGAGGGGATGCAAGAGGTAAGAAGTAAATCATGGGAGATGTTGAAGCACAAACGGCCCCGATTCCTTCCTGGGAAGGATAGAGTGGAAAAAGAGAGGAGCAGCAGAAACCCTCTGGATGGAAAGGGACCAAAGAGGCCTGCCCTTCACTTGTAACACCACACAGCTGCTGTGTGAGCCCCAGTTCCAGCAATCCAACTGCAAAGAGCACAGGTGCCTCTGGGGAAAAGAAGTGTGCAATGACTCACAGGATACCTTTGATGTCACTAATGGTACTATAGCTGGGTCTTTAACAAGGAACCTTTCCCCATAAGAACCTCAGACTGAAGGACTGGCAGGGAAAATGCCATTGAACAAACCTACCATGGTTTGATGAGGATTTGGGTCTTGAACTCACGAAAGGACATTAACTCCCAGTTATATGCTAATAGTACCAAGTAGTGGAAGCCATCTGCTTGTGGTGACTAGAGGAGAGGCCTAGCAGGAGGCCCTTTGGTCACTGGGGGCATGTGGTTGGTGACAGCCCTCGGGAGAGGCTGGTTGTAACAGCAAAGTCTAGCCCAGGCTCTCTGCTTTCTGGCTCTGTACTCTGCTACCCTGAACCAATGGGGTCACTGGCTCTTGGAGCACGAAGTTCCAAAACTGTGAGCTAAACAAACCCTTTTTTAATAGGAAGTTAGTTTTACCAGGAATTTCGATGTAGCAACAAAAAGCTGATGAATGCAGAACCCAAGGAGGCCCGACCTCCACTGGTGGCCCCAGCTCTCAGTGGAGCAGAACTTCAGGGAGGGTGTAGATGGGGGAGGCTGACAGCCAGAGCATCCTCAAAGGACTGGGCATTGAGGCAGGCTGGGTGACAGTCGGGAGGACTGGGGTGTGTAGGGGGGTGCAGACAGGGACACTGGCAGTTACTGGGTGTGTGGGGTGCACCTGGGGTACTTCCAGCTCTGTCCTCGCAGCCCAAGGCCCACAGTAAGCACATCACAAGCCAGGTTCCAGCACAGAGGCTGAGGGTTGCCCTGGCCTCATCCCTGCTCCAGCATTCCTAAGGGGCCACTCTCACCTCAGAAGCTGGGTCTACAACGCTGGTCTTCCTTTCCCCAGTGCTGCCACTTGGCTGCTTGGATGGTGTTTTCTGGAGGAAGTCCGAGATTCTCTGCACTAAGAAATCGCGATCTTTCAGGTTGGCAAACAGGAAGGTCATTTTACTCTTGGTGCTGATGGACAGGGGCCTGGGTAAGACACTGGAACTGTCAGCTTTTTCAACAATGGTCACCTGAGAAGGCAGAAGCAGTCTCTTGGGTGTTTGCTGTGTGGCTGGATATGCCTTGTAGGTCCATAACTATCCTCAGGCATGTCATAGTGACAAGCTTGACTGGACCCATATGCTGAGCCTGCCACCATGTGCAGCCTTGGGCTCAGTGTTTGCATATCCAAGTCCTACCCTCCCACCTGCCCAGCTCTGGTCACCACTGGCTCTCAGACTGCCCACTACTGCCTGCTCCAAAGCATGGCCAACAGCCCTCACCTGCGAGGCTGCAGCCTTGATCCCAGAAACACTTCTGACAGGGGTCCTGGAGTAGCTTGCAAGCAAAGGGCAGAGGGCTTCCAGCAGACATCTAAGCAAAGCCCACAGCCCAAGGACAGGGCAGATAGTGGGCAAGCTGGGTAAGCAGAGCTAATAGGGCATAAGCTGGCACCTGCTTTAGCCAGGTAGGAGCTGGGGCAGGAGCTGGGGCAGGACGCAGATGGGATGGGCAGTAGACAGTCGTCAGAGGGTAGTGAGACTGGCAGGGGACAGGGGTGAGAAAAGGCTGGTGAGGCTGCACAAAGCGGGGGACAGTGCTTGTGCGTGCATGTGTTAAGTGTTATTTTATGTTCACCTGAGTGTGTGTGCATGTATGTGTGTATGTATGGTGTATATCATGCGTATAGGTACATGTTGTGTACCTGCATGTGTGTGAGTGTATGTATGCATGTGTATGTGCTCAATGTATATCCACAGGTGTATGGGCATGCATGTGTGAATGTGTAATGTGTAGGTATATGTTTCTCTATATGTGCATGTGTGTGTGTGTGTGTAGTGTGGACCTGCACGTGAGCACACAGGTCTGTAAGTGTGTTCTGCATGTCCAGATGTGGGTGTGTATGGGGTCTCATGGGTCACAGGCACTGGATGCCAGTGAACCCTCAGCAGGGATGGGGGTGCTTTGAGTGCTGTGGCTATGACCTGGGACAGGGAGGGGTGGGAACAAAGAATAGGGCAGTGGGTGAAAGGGAAGACAGGAGCGCGATGGGAGAAGCACCATGAGCAGGGAGATTCCAGAGCCACTGCGTTTGCCATGGAGCTGAGTGATCGGATACCTGCAGAGCCCCCAGCTGGGAAGTGAGGAAACAGGTATGCAGGGCACAAGCCCACTCTCCGAGGCAAGACTGCTGTGCTGCCCAGCTCTCTGCCATCTGGCCTCAGGAATCTAGAAACCCTTCCGTGACACTCTGGGCCTGGGGGCTAGCATGAATCCACAGGCCCTTTCTTCCATGAATAACATCTAAACCTCAACCTGCAGTTTAGGGAGATTTTGAGCTCTTGGCCTCTGACTCGAGGAAACTGAGGCAGCACGTTATTCCCACACCCATTCACAGCTACACCTATAGCCCATGGGCTTTGTACACACACCACTGGGCCTCACTGCTCTAGGTTTTAATACAAACAAAATGCTGTGATGAGACTTGAGCTATGGCCTAAGAACCTCACTATGCTTTTTATGAATAGTCACTGCTTTGCCAGGCCAGGACTGGGAGGCTCCCCAAAACCCACAGAACCCGGAGGCTTTAGTCTGTGTCAGAGATCCCTTCTGCTGTCTTTACTCCTTCATGGCAACACTTGGTCTGGTTTCCACCGGGGCACTGTGGAAGTCCACAAACAAGAGAAGGCATGGTTAGAGGCCAGAGCTGCCCCACCACGACAGGTGACAGCTCATGTGTGATCGTTCCGCCAGTGCTCCAGCCAAGGTGTCTATGTTTGGAAAGAACTGGAAAGGTGGCTTCTGAGAGTGACCTCACGGGGCTGTGCAGGGACAAGAGCCCCTCAATCTAGCCAGGAGGACAGAGCTTTGCCAAAATTGAACCACAGGATTCTGAGAGGGCAGGGTAGATAGAAACACCCCTTTGTCCCAGTGAGAGGATTCGCAGGGATTGCCCTCCTGTCCCCCTGGGGCATACAGCATGCCTGCTCCCAGCTCCATGCCTGGCATCAAGCTGAGCCCAGGTGCTGCAGTTGCAGATGCCCCACCTGTCCTGTCCCAGGCCTGGCGTACATTTCCTGAGGATGCTCACCTCCCTCAAGGGAATGATAAGGTGGCATGCATCCTCTTCTTTGCTGGCAAAACATATGTAGTTGTTGGAGATGAACATCTGGCCAGGAATGTGCAACTTGCTGAATGGTGTCCACAGTGTGCAGCCCGTGTGGCCGTCCAGCCGCTCATCCCTGGGCAGCCGGAAGGTGGCCCGATAGCACTCGTTCTTAGCTCGGGCATCCAGGTCTCTGAGGAAACAAGGTGGGTGCAAAGCAGGCAGGGGTCATACGTGCAGGAGGACTTGAGGCCTCAGTCCCCACATCACTCCCAGAATCCTTGGGGTTCTCCAGGAGCTGGTGGTGCCCAAGGAGCTTACAGTTCAATCAAGGATGCAAATTAAACAAAGGCTAGAGTTGTGCTATAGTGACTTATGCCACTGCCTGCTGTGCTGGTATCCCATATGGGTGCTGGTTCAAGTCCCAACTGTTCCACTTCCAAAACAGTTCCCTGCTAATGCATCTGGGAAAGCAGTGAATGGCTCAAGATCTTGGGCCTGTACCACCCATGTAGCAGACCCAGAAGAAGGTCCTGGCTTTGGACTGGTCCAGCAGTAAGACAGGCAGGTAATCTTGAAATGCACAGGAGCACTGCTTAACAGATGCTTACCCACATGTCCAAGTGCCGAGAGGTAGTGATGGGCACCCTGGTCCTAATCCCTGTGCTGGGCTGCAGGTAACATGACCCTACCAGTCTAGCCCTATTCATCTGCTTTGCGAAGGCTCCCCCACTACTTCCATCTGTAGAGTGACACCCTTGCACAACAGGCTGGTCTTAAAGGCGCCACCAGAGTCTAGGTCTTCACCAGTCTGCTAGTGCACCCCAAGGAAATGGCCCCTGGCAAATGAGGCCTTTGAACACGCCAGTGTCAGTCTGGCTGGCCCACCGTGGCTGGGACTCTGGCCCAGGGAAATGCTGAGATACAACCAGCTTTGTGCAGGTTTCCTGTGAGTCTACAACCTAGGAGCTCATTAAACACAAGCGGTCTGCAGGGGTTGGCCACAAGCACCTATCTCCACAGACAGAGTAGCGATGACCCTGTCTGCCCTGCAGGCTTCAGACTCCAAAGGCCTGGACCTCATGGCTCTGAGGGTCCCTGTGGTATAGAGCTCGAGGTGTGCTCTCTTCATGGGGGGCAGAGGCTGTATTCCCTGAGCCTGGATCCATCCAAGTCCTCCAGATGCAGCCTCAAGGGGGTGTCCGGCCCAACCTCTTGGGGCCCTCAACAAGGGGTACCCATCTTGACTCCACATCTTAGGAATAAGTCAAGTAGTGGCCTGTCTGGCCTTGGTGTCCTCATCTAAGACCAGGGGACAGTAAGGGGACCTTCCCGTCGTAGGGCTGAGAGGAACAAAGTATGTAGAACCTTGCCTATGCCAGTGGTGCTTCTAGGACACTGCTATACCTTCTGGTATCCCGCTCCTTGTGCGGCAATGCAATGAAGTACTGACCTGGCTCCTATCAGCTGGGGGGCCCAGGATGGCTGACTGGAAATCCTCAGTGGATCTGGCCCAAGTGGGCCCATCCTCTCCCACAGTAGGGTCCTCCTGAGCCCCAGAAGGCAACGCACCGCTTCAAAGCAGAGATGTTCCTGTGTGGCTGGACAGGCCTGGGCAGGGCCTTGTCTTCCAGGAAGTCCTCGTTGTCCAGCAGCTGTCGCATGGCCAGGTTGGCCAGCTGCTCCATGAGCTTGAAGGTCTCACCGATGTTGAGGAACATGGAGAAGAAGAGTTCCTGGTCCCTGGTATCCACACGGATGCTCTCGGGGAAGAGGAGGGTGGCATTCTTCTCAAGCCGTGTGACATCCACCCACTGCACCACCAGGCTCACTGGATGCCCATTGGGACAAACAGACCACTGGTTACAGCTGGGAGAGGCAGGGCTTTTGACTCCCACCCACACCCAGAGCCTACTCCCTGAAGGTAGACCAGACCATTGGGGTCCTACTGCCTCAGATCCACTAGGGTTGGTCAGCAAACATTTGCCTCACAAGCAGCAAAGAGTGAAATGAGTTCCTGCTGTGGGTTGCTAAGGTGGCATCTGGGTTTTGGGGGAGATGCTCTTGGTGGCTGTGTGAGGACACAAACTTGGGGGCCAAGAAGAAGAAGACCCAGCCGGAACCTGGTCAGGGAAAAGCCAGGGCTGATGAGGTCAGGTGGCCGGGCCAGAGCTCACCTTCTTTGCCCAGCAGGAAGGAGTAGAGCACATGTGGTTGACAGTCAGGTATAGCCAGCCCTGTCTGGGCACACGGCCCTTCCAGTAGCTGCAAGAGTAATAGTTGACCAGCTTTTCCCCCTCTGGCATCCCAAACTGCTTCCGCATTTTCAGCTCCGCCTCCTTGAACTTCCCAGGGTCCTCATCTCCCTGGGGCTGCACGTTCTTGTTTTCTTCAGCGATGATGCCCTGAGGGAGGAGGAGAGACAAGCCCGGGCAGGCAGGTCACAGGGAGCAAGGGCCAGGTGGGGCCACAGCTCAGGGCAGGAGGCTGCCTGGGACTCTCAGCCAGTTCCTGCAACTCCCTGGCCTACGGTCACCCCTGGCTCTGAGTACTAACCTGTTGGGATAAATATTTGACCAACTTTGATGCAAAACTGTTGACACAAAGTAGGTTAAAGACACAAAGGCTAAACATTGCTAAACCCAAATGCTCCAAAATTCTACTCCTGAGTGAAGACACGATACTACAAGGGGAATGTCCCACTCAGAGCACAGAAGCACAAGACAAGCAGCACAGCATACTCCTTCAAGCTCTGAGTGAAGGCACCTATGAAACAAAGTAATTCTGTGTTGACACTGGGGTCCCTCCACAGAACATCTCACCATCTCGCTCTGTATACACAAATGGAGCCCAATCTGAACCAAAAATCCTGTCAGGAGCACATCCCTCTTACACACCGCTTTCGATTTCCCCTTTTTCGCCTTTACAGGGGTTCTCCCTGTGGCTCTGTCCTAAAGTATGTTTGGCACTTGACTCCTATGCCTCAGGGTTCTGGCCTCTTGTTCCAGCCTCCAGACCAGCTGAGGGGCCTGCCCAGGTTGTGGAGGGGTGCCCTGCTCCCTGGTACTGCCAGAACCTTCTCAGAGCTCAAGGTGAACATCATCCTGGGATAAATCAGGTCACCTCAAAATGGATCTTCTAGAAGAATAATTACTGGATCAACTAAATTCCAGGGACCAGGGCTGTCGGCTGGACTTGCTAGGCTTCTGGGCTTCTGAGCGGTTATCATCACGTCACAGGCCCAAGAGGCAGACCTGAAGGTGAGGACTGCTCTGATTTCCTCTTAGTACCATGGTGTGGTTGCATCCTCTGACACTTACATGCAGCACAGGGAACTCCTCAGTTCATCTGTTGTTGGGATCTAGAGGAAGGGTTTTGGGGAGGGACTCAGATGAGGCTGTCAGGGTAGGGCTCCCATGAGGATGTCAGTGGGCTTTGTGAGAGGAGTGATCTGAGGTAGCACACCTGTGGTTCTGTGGATAAGGTAGTGAGCTGAACTGGCGGTCACAAACATCCTGCGCCCTATTTCCATCTGGCATGTCAGAGCACCCCTGTTCCCAGAGTGCTCTGCTTTCATCTGGGACCTGGGCAATGGTCACCACATAAATATGTATATTTTATGGAAGTATCATCAACTTCCCAGGTGATCACATCGCTTCACAAGAGGAGGCGCTTTCCCTCTCTCCTGTTGGAGAAAAGGATGAGAGAAGGTACTGCCATTCTACTTTATTCTCCAACCTCTTTCTCTCTCCAGCCTAATCTATGCCTGTGTGTGTACATGTGTGTGTCTGTGTGCACATGTGTTTATTTGCTTTCTTATTTTCTGAGTAAACTTTAAATATCATATATGTACTTGTGCTTAAAGTGCTTTTTAAGTAAAAGTCAATCTGGAATAAACAATAAAATTAGAGTCCACCTCTCCCATATCATTGCTCCAGGATAACAATCCACACCCCTAGGGCTCCACACAGTCCCTGCAGCCAGAGGCCTCTACCCAGGAGCTCTAGGACTGTCTGCAGAGGAACCTCTTTGCTTCATAAGATACTCAGGTATTCTGTTATAGGAAGAAAAACATGGAATGACACGCTATGTAAAAGTTTCCTACCAGGTTTTCTCTACTTCCTTGTTAGCAATCAGCCTGTTGGAAACATTGCTATATGAAATTGTCTATCTACCCACCTCCTTCCCTCGACCAAAACAGACAACCTAGACAGGGAGGGAAACTAGAATACACTGCCTGAAAACATGTCCCCTTTGACGTAACAATTATTCAGGGCTGAAAGCAATTCAGTTTTCCCCATCCTTTCTGCCTACATGCAGGATGTAGATTCTCCTTTAGTGGAGACGTCAGACCTTCCTCAGCTTAGAGATGGCAAAAGAGGCCTCTGGGGGCAGACATCACTTTGCTTCTCTCATACTTAAGCTCCTCACAGCTTCTGAAATCAGTCTTTGTTGTTGTTGTTGTTGAAAAGGACCCAATGCTGTGTTTCATAAGAACTTTGCCTAAATACAGCCATGACACACCAGCAGCCAGCTGTAAAGAGAGCTAAGTGGCAGAGATGGGAGTATGGGAGGGAGTTCAGATGTGAGCAGAGAGAAGTGTTGAGCCAGGTGGGCATTCTCAGAGCAGACAAGTACACTCCAGACAGACTCTGAGAGCAAGTGCCTGGTTTACATTTAGACTGGGGTCTCCAAAGGCCGGGGGTCTTGTTCTTCCTGCTGTTTCTCCTTCCCTTTTTCCCTCTTATCCTGAACAAAGGATTTGCTGTGTTTGAATTAGGCAAATTTTCTCCCAAGGTTTTATGACACAGTGTCATCAGTCTGGGTAGTCTAGCTGGTGCTGGGTAGGTGCAATTCCCTTAGGGTAACTTCTCAGGGGGAAGGCTGTGAAGTTTTCTTTTTGTTTTTATTGCTCAATATTATCAGGCTAGGTAGCCCACCAGCTGCTGGGCAGAGGCGACTTCCCTAGGGAGCCTGCTTGGTGGGGAAGGTTGGAACCACCTGCAAGGCTACTAGAGTAAAAGCAGGACTTCATGGTATAAAAACCAGGCTGCTTCTCAGGTGTGCTTCCAGGGCTGTTTCCTTCCTTTTTGTCATCCTGGAGACCCTGCACACACAATTCCAACTATGTAACCACAGGAGACTCCTTACAAGTTTTCTCACACGTCAATTCTTGGAACTGTTCTGAACAAACAGTTTTTGCTAGAACCACAGTGTAACCTCCCTCTCCCCAACCCATCTTCCTAGCAACACCCAACCCCCATTGCCTTCTTCCCTTGCTTTTATGTCTCCCTAGTTGCTCAGTCAATGAGAAATCTGTGAGACAGGGACAAAAGGAACTGATCTTCCCAACTTCCACCTGCCAGCCACTACTTTCCAGATGGCGTTATTAACAAACACCTTGCCTTCTGTTTCCTTCATGTTTCTGAGTCCTTCCTTTGGTAGGTGGGTGCTTAGGTGGGTTTATTTCTCACACTGTCCTGTCACTTCTCTTTAGGTTTACTGATCCTTTGTTAAGGGGCAATATGAAGTTGAGTTCTAACCAAACCCTCTTGCTGCTCTTTCCTGAGTATCTCCTGTGTGTATGTGATACACACCTATCAATAAATGTTGCTTCGGAGCCGGCGTCACGGCATAGTGGTTAAAGCTGCTACCTGAGAGGCCAGTATCCCATATAGGAGCCCTGGCTGCTCCACTTCCCATCCAGCTCCTGGTTAATTGCTGGGGAAGGCAACAGAAGATGGCCGAAGTGCTGGAGTCCTTGTAACCCACTTGGGAGACTCAGATGAGGCTCCTGGGTTTAACCTGGTCCAGCCCTGGCCATTGCAGCATCTGGGGAGTAAACCAGCAGATGGAAGCTCTCTATCTCTGCAGCTCTTTCAAATAAATAAATAAGTAACAATCAAATCTAAATAAAATAAGTGTCTGCTTGTTTTCCCCTTGCTAATCTACCTCTTGGTTTTTTTTTTTTAAAGATTTATTTATTTTTATTGCAAAGCCAGATATACAGAGAGGAAGAAAGACAGAGAGGAAGATCCTCCGTCTGATGGTTCACTCCCCAAGTGACCACAACGGCAGGTGCCATGCTGATCTGAAGCCAGGAACCTCCTCCAGGTCTCCCAAGCGGGTGCAGGGTCCCAAGGTTTTCGGCTGTCCTCGACTGCTCTCTCAGGCCACAGGCAGGGAGCTGGATGGGAAGTGACGCTGCTGGGATTAGAACAGGCATTAACATGGGATCCTGGCGTGTTCAAGGCAAGGACCTTAACCACTACGCCATGGCGCCAGGCCCAATCTACCTCTTGTTACAGAGTTCCAGCCACGACCCCAATCAAATAGAAGGAAAAATGGCTTTCCTTCCCTCCTACAAGCCCCAGTAACTGTAACCTAAGTCTTGTCTTGTCTTCTCTCCTGTCCTCTCCTCTCCACTCCTCTTCTCTTTAGTCTTCTTTTAAATATTTATCGATTAATTTTAAAAGAGTTACAGAGAGAGTGGGAGAGACAGAGAGATCTTCCAACCAGTTCCAAATGGCTCTAATAGCTAAAGGCTGACACAGGATAGCTAGGAGCTAGGAGTGTCAACCAGGTCTCCCAAATGGCTGAAGGCTGCTACCTTCCCAAGTACATTAGTCGGGAGTTGAATCGGAAGTAGAGGAGTCAGGACTCAAACTGGCTCCCATATGAAATGCTGGCATTGCAGACAGTGGCTTAACCCACTACATTGCAACATCCACTGAAAGCCTCCTTTGGTAAGCTGCCAGTGTGTCGTCGCAAGGAGCTGCTTCAGGAATCAGCTGTATGCCTAGACAATACAAGGGGACTTCAAAACATTTATGAAAAGAAAATGGACTAGAAGATAAGCTTATTTTGGTCCAGAATTTTTTTGAAATTATATATATGAGAAGCTTCAAAATGTTTATGGAAAATGCATTTGACAAAAAAGCATGGATTTAAAACCTTTTTAGTACCAAAATAAACCTGTGTTTAATTCTATTTTTCCTTTCCATGGTCTTTTTTTTTTTTTTTAATTTATTTACTTGATCTGAGAGGTAGAAAGTCAGAAATAGCGCCTACCCACTGTTTCAGTTCCAAATGCCCACAACAGCTGGTGCTAGGCCAGGTCTCCCACGATGGTGGCAGGGACCCAGTCACTTGAGCCATGACCTTCTGCCACCCAGGGTGTGTGTTAGCAGGAAGCTGGCATTGAGAGCACTCCCATAAAGGATGTGGGCCTCCAATGGGTGGACTAAAAGCATGAGGCCAGATGCCTCCTGCCCCTGTAAAAATGAAGGCATGCAGGCCAGTTACAGAAGTGACTTGAAGATGTTATGCTGTTGGCAGCAAAGCAAAGGGGCCAATAGCGAGGGGCACAGGAAGCCTCTGGAAGCACTCACCAAAGGCCAGGAGGCAGAGTCCCCTCTGAGAGCCTCAAGGGGAGCCAGCCCTGCCCACACCATGAATTGAGAGTGTTTCACCTTCCAAACTATAAGATAATAAATCACTGCTGCTCAGAGCTGCTGGGTTTGTGATAACTTACTAAAGTACTAATTTAAAGCTAAAACACAATGTTTTTGGGAAATGCCCACTTTGTTTTTATATTTCTTGACTCAAAGCTATTCCTGACATTCTTCCTCCCATTTGAAACTGTGTTTTTTGGCCCTGTGCATGTGCTGGGATTCCATGTGGCCACTGGTTCATGTTCTAGCTGCTCTACTTCCCATCCAGCTCCCTGCCTGTGGCCTAGGAAAGCAGCTGAGGATGGTCCAAAGCCTTGGGACCCTGCACCCTCAGGGGAGACCCAGAAGAAGCTCCTGGCTTCTGGCTTTGGATCAGCTCAGCTTCGGCTGTTGCGGACACTTGGGGAGTGAACCAAGAGTTGGAAGATCTTCCTCTCTCTCCTTCTCTCTGTAAATCTGCCTTTCCAATAAAAATCAGCAAATCTTCAAAACTGTGCTCTTTATAGGTACCCCTCAGGTTCACATTCCTCACTGCTTTCTTGCGCTGGGTCACCTGCCCCATGGATCTGCTTCACTTCTGGATGGCTTCCTTGTTTTCTATGGAATTCACTTTGGCTCACTGGTATTTCCTTCCGCCTGGCCTCCTGGTCTCTCTGTTTCTTTCACAAACTCACTCACCTGGGCACTTGGCTCATTGGTTTTGGCCCTTTTCTCTTTCACAAGCTCTCAGCTTTTACACTGCCTTTCATGTATTGTACCTTTGCTGTGTCCCACAAAATCTGACTGATAGTGCATTTACTTGATCATTAAATCTCAAATGTTTTCTAATTTCCACTTTTCAAAAACACATTTTTTCATTTATTTGAAAGGCAGAGACAGGATGTGCATAACAAGGAACGGAGGGAAGGAGGAGGGAGGCAGAGGGAGAAAGCAAGAGAGGAAGAAGGAGAGAGCTCGATCTTCTGGTTGCTGTTTCACATGCCAAATGTCTATAAGAGCTAGACCCAAGCTAGGAGCCTGGCACTCAACCCAGGTACCCCACGTGAGTGGCAGGGACCCACTGTCTTTCACGATGAGTGATAGCAGGAAAATGGAATCAGAGGCAGAGCTGACAACTGAAACCAGGAACGCTGACAAGGCATGTGGGCGTCCAAGCTGTGTCTTCACCACTGTGCCAACACCCACTCCTAATTTCTCTTTCTTTGACCCATGAATCATTTAGAGGTGTTTTTTCCCCATTATTGCTCAGTTTGTTAGAGCCTTGGCAAACTTGGAGTCTTCAAAAGTCCATGGAAAATGCAGATTGTGAGAAAATCACCATGGATTTACACATTTTTTGTACCAACAAAATCCTATCTTTTATGGGCAAAGCAGGTAAAGCTCACTGTCTGCTATGCCAGCATCTCCTATGGCGCTGGTTCGTGTCCCAGCTGCTCCACTTCCCTTCCAGCTCCCTTCTTGTGGCCTGGGAAAGCAGTGGAGGATGGCACAATGCTCTGGCCACCACAGCCACTTGGGGAATGAACCAGTAGGCTGAAGATCTTGCTCTCTTTCTCTCTCTCTGCTTTTTTTTTTTTTTAAATATTTGTTTATTTTTACTGGAAAGGCGGATACACAGAGAGGAGGAGAGACAGAGAGGAAGATCTTCTGTCTGATGGTTCACTCCCCAAGTGACTGCAACGGCTGGAGCTGAGCCAATCCGAAGCCAGGAGCCAGGAGCTCTTCTGGGTCTCCCAAGCGGGTACAGGGTCCCAGGTTTTGGGTCGTCCTCGACTGCTTTGCCAGGCCACAAGCAGGGAGCTGGATAGGAAGCAGGGCCGCTGGGATTAGAATTGGTGACCATATGGGATCCCGGGCGTGGAAGGTGAGGACCTTAATCACTAAGCTATCGCGCAGGGCCCTCTGTCTTTCTTTCTATTTGTAGATCTGCCTTTCCAATAAAAATAAATACATCTTTAAAATCGTAAACAAACAAACAAACAAATAAATATATCCTTATCTGTGAATTCTATTTTCTGTAAACTTTTTGAAATCCCCCCAGAATAGGAAGCATTAGGTTACGCTGCTATCATTCGGCTATTGCCCAACTTGCTCAATGTGTGACTCCATATTCTTTGCCAGGATTCTGTTGTGTTCTTGGAACCAGGAGGTAACATAGGGCCTGCCTTGATTCCTGAATGCACAGAGAAAAAGCAGAGGAGCTTGGTGCCATCTGTCCAATCCTGTGAAGCTTTGGAGGTTGAGGCCTACTCCTAGCAACTGGACAGTCAGAACTCTTCTAGGAGACCAACTGAAAACAGTATGTCCACTCAAATGTTCATTATACCAGTAATCACATCTAAAAAAACAACCTAGATACCACTATGAGGTCAGTTGTTACACGCGGTTACAATGGTAACAATCATTCTTTTGATGGCTGCATTAAGTATAACCACCTATAATCCAACAAGTCCCCTCTGAAGACAGAGCACTCAGCAAGGTACCCACATAGCACTCAGCAAAGGTGAGTGAGTACCAGAGAAAGGCTGCTTCCTCCCTCCTGTTGCTGGCAGGCACCAGTTCCCGGGTTTGCACACTCAGTGTTGTAGGGAGCATCCAGATCCATGTGCACTGCTGCATACAGGTACCCTTAGGGGCAGTGAGTTCAATGACTCCTTTTCAACCCTTCAATTTGCATCTCTAAAATGAGGGTAACACTTCTACCATGTCGTGTGCAAATGAAACAAGACAGTATACAGCCATCATCTTCTACCTATGAAGACCTGCATACAGCCCCTCTGCAGATACCAATATCCACCGAAGCTCAATGCTGCTTCCCTTAGAATGATGTGGTATTTTCAAAGAACCTACACAATCCTTCTGTGTGCTTTGAACCCAATCTCCAGATTATTACAATAGATAAATCAGTGTGAATCTACATTAAGTACTTACTATACTGCATTATTTAGGGAATGAGGACAAGAAAGAAAACCGGTGTACGTCCAGCACTGATCCAATATTTTTCCTGGATATCTGCAATCTGTGGTTGGCTGAGCCTGGATGAACAGTCCATGGATGTGAAAGGCTGTGTGTGAGCACTTCCAGCCACAGAAGTTAGCAGAAATGTAAGGCTTGGGCCCAGCATGATGGCTCAGTGGCTAAATATTTGCCTTGCATGCACCAGGATCACATATGAGTGCCAGTTTGTACCCTGGCTGTTTCACTTCCCATTTAGCTCCCTGCCTGTGGCCTGAGAAAGCAGCAGAGGAGTTCCCAAAGCCTTGGAACCGTGCATCCACATGGGAGACCCAGAAGAAACTCCTGGCTCCTGGCTTTGGATCACCTCAGCTCTGGCCACTTTGGCCACTGGACGAGTGAACCAGCAGATAGATCTTTTTGTCTCTCCGTAAATGTCTTTCAATAAAAAAAATGAATAAATCTTAAAAACAACAACAAACTGTAAGGCTTACGTGTATTTTTCCCTTGACAAAGGTGGTGATATCCTCCTCATTATCAAAGATGGACAGTGTCTGAAGTAAGTTATTTTCCAGCCATTCCCAGTGTTTTGTGATTTCTTTGCGGGAAGAACCTAGAAGAATCATGAAGTAAAGAAAAAAGTTTGTAAAATTGCTATGCCAGATGCATAGGTTGAAACAAAGAGTCCTGGGGGAACCATTTGGTGCAGCGGTCAGGACGCTGCTTCCGGGGCTGGTGTGTGCGTGGTAGGTTCAGCCTTTGCCTGCACGGCTGGCCTCCTAAGTGAGCACTAGTTCGAGCCCTGGCTGCTAATAGTCTGAGAAAGCAGCAGAAGATGGTCCAAGTGTTTGGAACCCTGCACTCATGTGGGAGATTTGGAAGAAGCTCTGGCTTTGGATCAGCCCACATCCAATTAATGCAGCCAGCTGGAGAATGAATCAACAGATTAAAAAAACCTCTTGGGCCTAGTCTGATGTCTCTCTCCTTGTACGTGCCAGCATCCCACATGGCTGCCACTTCGTGTCCCAGCTGCTCCACTTCCTAGCCAGCTCGCTGCCTGTGGTCTGGGAAAACAGAAGAGGATAGTTCAAAGATTTGGGACCCTATTCCCATGTGAGAGACCCAGAAGAAGCTCCTAGGTCCGAATTGGCTCAGTGCCGGCCCTTGCAGTTACTTGAGGAGTTAACCAGTGGATGGAAGATCTTTCTGTCTTTCCTTCTTGCTGTAAATCTGTCTTTTCCAATAAAAATAAATATATATATTTAAAGATATATATATATATATATATATTTCACTTGCTTGCTCTCTAAATGCCTTTCAAATAATATATATTTTAAGATGTCCCATATCAAAATGCATGGGCTCAAGTCTCACCCCTACTGCTTACAGCCTTTTGATAATGTGCATCCTGACAGGAAGCAGGTGAATGCTCAAGTATATTGGGTCCCTGCCACCCAGTTGGGCAGCCAAGATGGAGGGCCAAGCTCTTGGCTTCCATTTGGCCAGCCCTAATTACTGTGGGCATTTGTGAACCAGTGGATGGAAAAACTCTGTCACTGTTGCCGTCTCTTTGCCTTTCAAATAAAATAAACAAAACTTTTGTCAAGGATTTGTTAAAAAAACAAAATGGAAGGGCCTTGGATGGTAGCCTAAGCCCTTGCATCTGCCAGGACCTCATGTGAGCACTAGTTTGTGTCCCAGCTGCTCTACTTCCCTTCCAGCTCCCTGCTTGTGGCCTGGGAAAGCAGTGCACGATGGCCCGGGACTTTGGGACTCTGTACCCATGTGGGAGACCTGGAAGAAGCTCCTGGCTTCGGATCAGCTCAGCTCCAGTCATTGTAGCCACTTGGGGAGTGAACCAGTGGATGGAATATCTTTCTTTTTGTCTCTTTCTCTCTGTAAATTACTTTCCAATAAAAAGAAAAATCTTAAAAAAAATAGATAAATGGAAGACCTAATCTGCCAAGTGTGTGTGATGAGAAGCTTTAAACTACTTGGTCTTTTCTAAAACTTTTCTGTATGTAACAAAAAGAATGAACAGTCCTGGTAAAAATCAAAGAACAGAATTCAGGCAGAGTCACAGTTGGTCACTGTGCCTCCCTAGACTGGGATAACATGTAAGAACTGTTCAGGTTGACAGAACTTAACATGGTCTTTGGCATCCCAGTGCCTCAGGAGACGCAGACTGGAGCAGCGACTCCACCTTGCTCATGAGAGTTCAGGCATCCAGAGCTGCCAGCTACAGGTTCCTACAGGACTCCAGGCCCTGGCTGGCCAGGCTCCTGCTGGTTGGGCAAGCAGCTACCACCCTTCTTTTCAGCTTTACTAGCTGGCTCTGCCTCTGGCCTACAAATGACCCCTGTCCCTCTGCAGCATGGGACCCTGGAGGGTCCATCAGACACCAAAGGAAAACGAAAAAACAGGGCAGGAAGCACCACACTACTTCCTGAGGGCAAGAAAACTCTTATGTCCATCAAGAAATTGGGGAAAGGGAACCAGAAAACAAGTCAGAGAATGAGAGTTCTCCTGGCCTGCCTCACCTTACAACCGGCACCCTACCTAGCATGTCTGGGTGGGAATCACACTCAACAATTGTTTTCTGATGAATGAAGAAAAGGACAATAGGAAGATGAATGACTCATATCCTCCTCAGGGGTCCTGGGTAGAAGAGTCTGAGGACTAAAGGCCCAAGAAGGCCAAGTCAATCATGTGACTCACAGGAAGACTGGCATGTGGTGAGCCTCAGCCAATAACCAAGCCCAGTGGGCATGAATCGGGCTTTTTGTCTGGGGTGCCTGATCCTGGCCACCCCATCTTTTCCTTCACTGTAACCTTCTCTTCTTCCTACTCAATGCCCACAGAACCCCAGCTGGCCAGGCAAGGTAGGTCCCTGCCACTCTTTTTAGCTCACAGTGGTGTTTGCTCTGCCACAGCCCAGTAGTCTCAGCTCAAAATGCTCATCAACCTAATAAGGGAAGAGCCTCCCCAATGTGCCCACATGAAAATGATCTCCCTGGAGTTACATAACACACAATGAATCACAGCAGGCTGTGGCAATCACCCCATGATCCCTAAAGTCATCCATACATTTGCTTTCCCCTTGGTTTTGCATCTGTCGCAAAAAGGCCAAGGTCTGGTTGCTAGGGAAGGGATTTCTTCGTGTGATCTCTCTGCCTTTTCGTCAAGAGTACGTGGTTCAGTTAGGAAGTTAAAGTTACAACTGCCACACTTCTACTGAGTCATTCCACCCCACATTCTTGGCACCTAAAACAGAAGAGTTCTTCTCCATGCCACCTGTGTGGATGTCTTCAGTTAAGTGTTTGCTTACGTGCATTTAAAATGAGTAGCTAAAAAATAACTCTGCCTTCATTTGACAGAAAGTTGTATACAAAGGATGAACAAACTATACCATCTCTATGGAAGGTATTAGGCATAAAAATAAAATAGCTAATTAGACTATTCAATGCTACTTCTGTTTTCAGAACTTGCCATAGGTTATCTTATTCTCAGAAAACACAGGAGACAGAGAATCCATTAACATTGGGTTAAGTAAGTTGTTCAAACACACAGTTGTCAAGCGGACAACATGGAGCCGCAGCCCAGATTGGCTGGCCGCAGAGGCCACTATCACCTTCAGGAGCTGCTGGCCTAATGGGAGACACTTTCTTTCTTTCTTTTTTTTAAAGATTTATTTTTACTGGAAAGTCAGAATTTATAGAGTGAAGGAAAGACAGTAAGATTTCCCATCCACTGGTTCACTCCCCAAGTAGCCACAATGATTAGAACTCAGCCAATCCAAAGCCAAGAGCCAGGAGCTTCCTCTGGGTCTCCCAGGTAGGTGTAGAGTCCCAAGGCTTTGGGCTGTCCTCTATTGCTTTCCCAGGTCACACGCAGGGAGTTGGATGGGAAGCAGGGCAGCCTGGACACAAACCGGCACCTATATATGGGATCCCGGTGGGCATGCAAGGCAAGGAATTTAGCCACTAGGTTACCATGCTGGGCCCTAATGGGAGACACTTACATGGAGAGTGCTTTTGGAAACAAGGGTCTAAGGAATCTGGGGAGGCTTTCTTGGGTGGTGACATCAGGAGAGTCTCAGCAGAGCAGGAGGGAAAGCTAGGCAGATATGAGACTTGGAGCATATGGATAGGAGTTTCAGGTCTTGTAAGTGTGCAGTCTGACTGAAGGCCAGGCACTGAACAGGAAGGATGAGGACAAAAATATAGGCAGGGAGACCCTGGAAGTCTTTCAATGCCAAGCTCAGGGGCTGGGATGCCCTAGCCAAGTGAGCCACTTCTAGAGTCAAAGCAGGATGGTGGGGGTGGGAGGCTCGGGCCAAGGCCCAGGTAGGCAGGTGGGACTAGTCAGGGTATGGTGTGAGGTGACGGACTGGTGTTTCACAATGTGGCAAGGCCTCCATAGCACCAGGCTGTGTAGTCACCAAAGGGACTCGTGCCCTGTACCAGAGACTCCCATTCTGCAGCCATGATTCCCCTCCCCACAGAGGAGCTGCCTCCCCATACCCTTCTGTTCCTAGCACATGAACTCACTGATTCTGCAAGGAGACTCCTGGGGGGTTCCATGTTAAAGTAACTTCCAGCCACTGTGTTGCCCAGGCACACCTCGGTCTCCTGGACCCAGCTCAGGGCAAGGCCCAGTCTTTAGCTCCCATAGGCCATGGGCTAGCTCACCTTTCTAATTCTTTTTAACTCATTAAGACCTGCAATTTCAACTCTGTGACTACTTCAGTGACATATTTTAGTCACGTTAAGTACTCAATTCAAGTATCTATTGGTGTCCCACATGTAGGACAATGCGACATAATGGGCTGAGTTTAGTCACTTCACAAAGGGTGGATGCTCAGTGAGTGGAGGCTGTCCCTGGGCTGCTGCCCCTCTGTGCTTTTACCCCTTTGCTCATGTGTCCTGCTATGATGCCTCCAAGGAAGACCACCATCCTGAGGGACAGGACCCCATGGCTTCTGGCCTGTAGAGGCTTCTTCTGTGGTTAGAGCAGAGGGTCTGATGTGAGCTGCAGCTGTGTGACTCAATCCTGCCTCTGGACCAGTATTTTGCTCTTAGAAACAAAGAAAGTCAGAGCTCCTGTGTGTCCTGGAGCTGTGGGAGGGTCAGACAAGGGTCCAGCACACGTGGGAAAAGAGTATGAGTGCCAGCTGTGGCTTCATTCCATCAGTGTCCTCTGAAGGGGTACTCCTCCCCTACTCTTGGGAAGGGTTGGGGCTCTTTCTCCTAGGAGAACAACCACAGCAGATTCCTGTTACCCATGAGTCTGATTCAGAAAGCCCCTTGAACTCTGAATCACAGAATGCTAAACCACTAATGTCCTCAGAAGGGTTATGTAAATGGTGTATTACGTAAACAAACTATGCACAAATTGCCAATCTTCTTTTTGTCATTGTTGCTATCAATATAAACTCATCTTCTAGCTCCACTTCTGCACAAACTTTCTGAGTACCTCCATATAACTCATGCTCATCTAACACACATTTCCTGTCCCCGGGAACAGCAGATGACATTTCAACACCATGCCGGGATTCCATTTTCAACACTGACATCAACGGAAAGCACAGAAGTAAAAAAAGTGGTGGTTCTGCATAGTGTGGTACCAAGCTGATCAAAAGACACACTCACTATGTGAGCACTGAATCCAAAAGGCAGATGCCACCCTGTCCACCCCCACCAGGGACATGCAGAGCAGATGACTCAGATGTTTCACCATGTTGTACACATGTACAAATACCTCCAAATGAGCATGAAACCACCCACAGATATTAATTTGAGGGTTATAAATTTTAGAGAGTAAGCAGACTTGAAAATATGGAATTGCTCAGCAATGAGGCCTACCTATCTGCCCCAGAAGAGACAGCCATGAAAATAAGGTCACAGGCAAGCCTGGAGCCTGTGCCCTGTTACTGGGGCTCCAAGGGAACATCTGCTCTCCGCTCCATCCCTGCGAACAATGGGGCTGCCTTTCTAAGCTGGAATCTGCAGTCCTCCCACCTCCTTCTTGCTGGCTGTGTGGAGAGACCGCCAGGACATGTAGGCTGTGGTCTCCTCCTTCCAGGGGCTGTCTGTATAAGCAGGCCATGCATAGCACCCTTCATGACTCAAGGAACCTACCGCATGCCACTGTCCAGTAGACCTGCGAATCCTGGGTCTGGTGCAGGATGCGGTAGGGGGCCACACGGGCGCTGGAGTCCAGCACCACATCCAGGGTGCCCACGAGAAGACCTGGGGGCAGGGCAGAGAGATGTGAAGAATGAAGAGAGGTCGCTGCAGGCAGAGGCTGATAGTCTGCCTTGGGATGGCAGTGTGATGACGGCATTATCTGAAGGCCTGAGCGCAAGGAGAGAGACATCCTGGCTCCTCCGTGCTCACAGGGTTTCTTTTCCTCAGACACTCTCAGCTGGAGCCCAATCTCAACCACAACGTCCCTTCTTTCTTATTAGAAGCGTCTGCTTCTTCTCCTGGCTCAGAACCCCAAAACGCAGGTTTTATGGAATTCAAAGCTAAACAATTCTGTGAGACTTTTTTCAACACAAAAAATGGGAGGGTGCTGTGACGTAGTGGCATGTGGTGCTGGCATTCCATGTGGGTGCCAAACAGAGCCCCAGCTCCTCCACATCCAATCCAACTCCTTACTAATGTGATCATGGTATCTCCCCTGCCAGGTAAGTATAAACTCCTTAATAATGTGTCCAGGAAACAGCGGAGAATGGCCCAAGTCCCTGAGCACCTGCACCCATGGGTCTCCCCAGTGGGAGACCCACATGCAGTCTCTTGGCTTCAGCCTGGCCCAGGTAGGCATTTGAAGAGTGAACTAGTAGATGGACCATCTCTCTTTAGAAGGCCTCTATGGAAAGAAAGGCTTTCAAAAAAAATTCTTGAAAACCACAAAAAATGATGATTTCTTTACAATCTATATGTAACAGTTAAGAACTGAAAACTTTAAACATACCACAAATATTACAAAACCCAGAAAACTATCACCCTGTTTTATCAGCTGTCAGATATTTCTCCCTGATGTTTCTGGCTGTGAGTCTGCCACCTCGCACCTGTCTGTGGAAGGCTGGTATTGTTCCTATCAGAACTGGGAGAGGATGAACTTTCCTCTGCTCTGGGGTCACGCGTTCCATTAGACTCACAGTTTAAGGAAGTTCCTTCCTTCAGCTTTGAAAGTCAGTACCAAAAAGGTCACAAGCACTTTTAGAATTGGCACTTTTGGGGAATATACTGATCTGGGTTTTTTGTCTCTGCACGAAGTTTTTAGGGAGTTTTGGGCTCTCTTCATCATGCGCCTTTTCAGAACTGTTAACACACACGTCCAGTTCACAGCAGGGCAGTTGTGGCTGGCTTCTCTACTTTAGACACATCAGCTGGAGACATAAAATCTTCTATACTTTTATCTGCTTTATTCCTGCATAGCTAAGCAATCTAAAAAACCCATTTATTGTTTTTGTTTGGAATTTGTCTTCCTTTTAATGCTTATTGTGACCATGTTCCTATTGATGTCAGGAAATTATTTCTACCAGTTAGCTTTAGCATTTGTTTGTCTATTATTTTACAGATTTACTTATTTCAAAAATTCAAGTTACACAAAAAGAGGAAGAGTCACAGAGCTCTCTCTTTCACCCACTGATTCACTCCTTAGATGGGTGGCGATGTCTGGGACAGGCCAGAGCCGGAATTTTTATCTAGATCACCCACATGGGTGGCTGGGCCCAAGAGGTTGGACCATCTTCCAATGCTTTTCTCAGGTAATAAACAGGGAGCTGGATGGCAAGTGGAGCAGACTGGATATGAACCAACAGAGGAGTCCACAGAGGATACCAGTGTCACAGACAGTGGCTTATCCACTAAGCCATAATGCCAGCCCATAGTCCATTAATTTTTAATGTTTTCTTTCTCTAGTCTTTAGCAAATAGAAGCAATGATTACAAAAGAAGGTGCATACATACATTCAAATCATGAGTTTGTAATGTCTCATCTGTTTTACTTAAAACAATCAAGAGGATGCTTAAACTTTGTCAGTGTTTGGGATAAAACATCTTGATTGCTTATGTTGGGGTTTCTCTTGTAAATGTTAGTCTTTAAACTGTCGGCATAATCATGTTGCGAGACCTGAATGCTTTTAAGTGGGCCAATTATCTCACCACACGGACTCCAACACAAAGTCCAAGGAAGGGAACATGTGAAAACGATGGCTTGAAGAAAACTACATCAGTGCCACTTTGACAGTGCCTGCGAGGCCACAGTGTCTGTGATGGCAGAGAAGGCCACGGTGGAGGCTACAGCAGGATTCACTCCACCTCAGAAGGTGGCAGGGGTTCAAGGAGCAGTTCCCTGGGCTGTGGTAGTATCTGCTCCCGAGGGAGACAGCAGTGCATGGGCTTCATGGGATGTGAGTTTTGGCAGGAGACATGGAGAAGTGGAGCAGACAGGAGAAAGGCCGTCACAGTCCCCATCAATTGAGATGACCTAGGGCAGAATAAGCGCAGAAGCACGCTGGCACCGCTGTCACAAAAGTGACTGGACAGCAGGCACGTTGTTTTCTTCCATGGATTGTGGCAGCTCCCAGGCAGATCACGGGACTCTCCAAGGGGCCGCTGGCTAAGCCAAGGAGGCAGGCCCAGCATGGCCTGGCCTGGCTGTTGAGGGCTGCTGGGAGGGTGCCAGAAGCATACAAGAGAACACTGAGTTTTCTTGGAAGCGGGTACAATCTCTTCTAAATTAAGAGGCGTAGCCCAAGACTGGCTGGGCGCAGAAATAACCTGTGGGAAGCCTCTGTCTGGGACACTGAAAATTAGCATGTTCCGCAGAAAGTTCTACTGAAAAACTGGAAGATGGGGCAACCTTGGGCCAGCATCCACGGGGCAACAATCCGCACCCAGAGGAAGGCATGCCCTGGTCTCCCCGCGGGCCAGTCCTAAGCCTGACACAGCTCTGCTCCTGGGGCTCTTGGGTCACACCTGCAGAGGGGGTGTGGCACAGGTTCCGCCAGGGGGAACAGGTGCATAATTGGGGTGCCCATCCAGGCTCCTTCGGTGTGACAGGCCCAGGCACCCCGCGGCTCCGGGGCTGCACAAAGCAGGGAGGCAGGGAAGCAGAAGCGGGGGAAGCGGGCCCGAAGGCCTGCGTCTGCCGGTCTCAGAACGAAGAAGGGACAGAAGACAGTGCTTGTGTCACTTGGGGCCCCAGAGGCACTAGGGTCACCTATGCGGCGGAGGACGGGCCCTGGGAGGAGCGGCTGACTCTGGGCTGAGGTGTCCACTCCGAGACGCTGCACCACCGCAGGCTCGAGGGTCGCGGCACTGACCCCAACCCGGGCCCCCTCGGCCAGGTCCCCCGTGCAATCGCGGCCCCTCTTCTCCTCACGCCCCGTTCCGTCGCCGCCGCGCGCCCGCCCGGCCATCCCCGCGCCTCCCCGCGCCCCACAGGCCCGGCCACCCGCGCCGCTCACCCGTGAGGCCGCCGCCCTTGCCGTGGCCCCGGCGCCGCTGCAGCACGAAGAAGGGGTTGGCCCGCTCCGTCACCCACAGCGCGTTGGCCACCAGCACCTCCTCGGGGCCCAGCCGGCCGACTGCGGCGCGGCCCCGTGCGTGGTGACATTGAGGCGGGCCTCTGGGGAAGGGCCAGGTGGGCCATGCTCCTCGGGCTAGGAACCTGCAGAGCCGGTGCCAGCTCGTCAGGAAGCCCCGAGCCAGGCAGGCGTCCCTCCCGGGGAAGGCGTCGCTGCGGCCTGGCGGCCATCGGCTGGGGGCTG